CACGTCCTCTGGGGGGCAAGCTCGCGAAGCAGCTCAGGCCATTTCTTAGCCCCTCATCTTTTCCAGGTGGAAGGCCGAAGTGTTGGCCACGTTTAGAATTGGTGGACTGTTGGTGTCTAATTTAGAAAAGCACCTTGAGGTTCTTACACAGTCCTTTCTCTCTTTAGATCAGTTCCGACAGGGCCGTGAGCCTCCGTCCATTTTCTTTCCCAGGTTAGATGGTGGGTTCCTCTGATGGCCAAGGGATTGGGGCACAGCGGGCACCTGCGTGGGCTCCCACCCACCCACCCTGGCAGACAAGAAAGTCAGCTGGGTCAATGGATGCGTTCTCTTCATTGTTACTCAGTGAAGACTGAGGCGGTGGGCGGGGCGGTCCCAGAGCCGGGTTCCACGGTCCTTCAGCCTCTTGTCCCGGAAGCAGCAGAGGGAGGCTCGCTCTGCACAGGAGAGCGCCTGCACTTCCACGCAGGCACCGCCACCTCGGCCTGCGGAGAGTGACGCCGCAGCCTGTTTAAACACAGGCTTGGTCCTCGCGACTCGGAGTTCCTGTAGGAAATCGCATCCGCAAATGCCATTTTTATTGATTAGATGAGGACCAAGATCTTGCTGTTAAAATAAATAAAGGCTTTTTTTTTCTTTAAAGAAAATGGGCAATTTGCCTTAACATATTTTATTGAAGTAATTCTTTTAGAATAATGTTGGGAGATAAAAACCCTCCATTATGTCTTTTTAAATGAATTATAACTCAGAGGAACTTCAGTAATAGAAAGTGACACAAAAGGCACGTAGCGTAATTCTTATCTTCCTTCCTCACCAGTCTCTCTCCTTGGCTGTGTGTCACCGGCATCGCTTCAAAGACCAGGCGGGGGTTTGACTCACGCGGCGTTCACTTGCTGAGTCCTAAGCGTGAACGTGCTTTTCGAGGCTTTTCTTGTAACCTTAGCGTAGTTCCTTCACACGCGGTGCCGGGAACACGCTGCCAAGTGAACGGAGGGCTGGTTTCCCTCCTGCGGTCACAGCGTGTTGCCATCCGTCAGCATGGCCGGCGAGCAGGTTCGGTTGCTGTCTGTTGGGGTGGCCGGGACCACCTTGTATGGGGTGAGCCTGCTGTGGGACGAGCAGTGGTTTCAAACTCCCACGTGCCTGCGAGTGGCCTGAGGACCTTGGTAAATGCAGGCTCAGAGCAGGGGCGGCCCGAGGCCCGAGGTCCTGGTCACTGGCCCCTGGGGAGCCGG